CAGGTCTATTTTTTTTGTTTAGCGGTGAGGAGTTCTTAGTTAGGCATACTGGCAGAATACAGTTAACCTCTGCTGCTCACAAAGTAAATGACTGGCATATCTATTCAATGGACAAGATAGTAGACGGATACCACTTGTTATGTTATACAGGATAATAATATCAGGATTGTCTACAATGGGGTGTTTTAGCATTAAAGGCGTTGGATATTTCCCTGGGACATCATTGTCAACAATGTTACCAAATCACTTACCCCACTAAAAAACTAACCAAACCAAACCATATCAAGCCTTATGTCCCAATCATTTGGGTCGGCTATACGAGTCTGTCTTAGCCATTCATTTCGATAATGCCCTATAGACTCATTTAAGTTAAATATTTTTATATATTTTCTTATTATTTTGTTTAATATTAATTTAGGTTTATCCCTATTTATAGTACCATTAAAAGAAATTCTATCATTTTTTCAAACCGGTGCCTCTAACGGCCACCGTTGAACATAACCAAACCATCTTAATCTATTATCTTTTAACTTATCCTCAATTGGAGCTTACTCCTACCATTTCTCTAATACGATCATTTCGTATTCTATCAATTCTAGTTTTTCCACAACGAAAACTATGTTACCATATCTGTTGAACTTTATTTTTCAGTTTCTACATGATATTTTTCTTGCAGTTGTTCCAACTCATGGCTGAAAATTTATTTGGTTTTACAGGTAAGTTCAAGCCAGTGATTAAGAAGGCAATGGTAGAGCTTGATGGTGAGAATTCTTTCATTGCAGNTTCCTGCATTAATTGTTGCTTAATGAGGCAAAATCTTATTGCAGGTTGCTGCCAAGAAGCAGACTCTGAAAAATGTTACAGACTACATTGCTGATGTGATCTGTAAACGTGCAGAACTTGGTTATAACTATGGGGTAATACTCATTCCAGAAGGCCTTATTGATTTCATTCCTGAGGTAAAATACTGGATCATTAGTTTGATAATTGTTTGTTTGCTTACCTACTTCTGTTGCTTGTTATTATTCACTGGCATGATTTGTGCTTCTATGTTGTACATGTACTTATTATGGTTGTTGACAATCTCCTCTTCTGATTTTAATGTGTCCAGGTGCAGCAGCTCATTGCAGAGCTGAATGAAATTCTGGCCCATGACACAGTAGATGAAGCTGGCCTTTGGAAAAAGAAACTTACACCCCCATCTCTGCAGCTTTTTGATTTGTTACCTCCAGCAATTCAGGAACAGTTGCTGCTTGAAAGAGATCCTCATGGAAATGTTCAGGTGTGTGAATGTAGTCCACTTCAGTATTTGAAAATTTGAATCCATAGATACCATTTGTGTTGGGACAACTTTGTAAATATTTGTCCCTTTTTGTACTCCAGGTTGCCAAAATAGAGACAGAGAAAATGCTTATTCAAATGGCTGAAACTGAGTTGGAGCAGAGGAAGCAGGGAGGTGCATACAAAGCCCAATTTAAAGGACAATCCCACTTTTTTGGGTACTCATCTTTTTTGTCTATATGACCTTCTATGAAATACATCTTTCAGTTGTAAGTGATGGCTTGACGGTGTTTGAGGTGAGGGAGTGGCCTAGTGGTAAAGACTTACACTACCCGTAGGTGGTTGTAACCTCATCCCGCTCCCCTCCCTCCCCCACCCCCCCACC